GAATTGTGAGTTTATATCTCGCAGTTCTGACTTTATATCTCAGAATTGCGACTTTATGTCTCGCAATTGCGAGTTTATATCACGCAATTCTGACTTTATTTCTCAGAATTGCGAGTTTATATCTCTCAATTATGACTTTTTAACTCGCAATTGCGAGTTTATATCACGCAAAAAAAGTCAGAATTGTGAGATAAAAAGTCACAATTAACTCTTTTATTTTTTATTCAGTGGCGGAAACGGGCTTCCATAGTATTGTTTGTTAAACATTTGACTAAAGACAATTTTCAACCCTTTGGGGATAGGCAATAAAGCTTTTTTGAATCTGAATCTAGATTTATAACATTATTATTTATATGTCATAATATTACATTTAGAATATGACGGTTTATATGTAATAAATATTTACATTTATAAACAAATTGTATATTAACATTAGGTATGTTACGCGTGAGTTACATACGTTGTTATTGTTAACTAAAACTATCAAAAATTGTTTTCATTAATTGAAATAAAGCTGAAAATAGGTTGTTATTATTATTAACATGTGATAAATATTTAAATTCACAAACATAATACATACAAACACACATACATATAACGTAGACATATAAATAAAAAGACAGATATGTATTAATATTTATTAATCCTTGGAAATGACAAATATGAAAGTGAGCAACAATGATTTGCATATTTAAGTGCATTAAAGCAGCACTATGTAACTTTTGGCGCTCTAGCGGTTAATAAACAGAACTGCACACATCCCGCGGAAGAACATTCCAACCGGAGCTACTTCTCTAAGTTTATGTCTATGGCGATTCACGCAGGTATGTGTTACTCCGCAGCGGTGACGACCCGACCAGGCTACAATAGTCCAAATATAAGCACTTATTATAAGTGTACCGTAGTGATTCGGAATAAGACAAAAACGCGGTTTGGAAGATGAATTCATGATGTACTCGCTCATTATATACATTTTGCAAATTTTGAACACAGAAAAAGTTACATAGTGCTGCTTTAAAAGCCTTTTTCCCTTCTCACCTGGAGATCAATGTATCCATCATCATCACTGGCTAGTTTGGAGTATCTGACTCCACTGTTTATAGTGTTTCGAGCTGGCATCTTCTCTTGAGTTTATTCACTCTGATTCAAAAGCACATTCATTTAATACTTCATCATTAACACATACGAATGAAAACAGTCAGGTACATACATTGGATCATTGTGTTATCTATTACTGACCTACTAAATCAGGTCGAACATTCACTAATAGCAATGCAGTACTGCATGTAGAATAAATATTTAAATGTCTAATTGTCAATATAAACATGTTTTGCTTGCTAAATTACCTTGAACGTGATATTTCAGCCTCAGAATAGTCTGTTTTCCCGAAGTACAAGTCACAATAAAAATGTTTTTTGTTTCCGTTTTTAAAGCATTTAAGTCATTTTAAGCTAGTATTAATTAAAAACGTCACTATAGGTCAGTTTGTGACAGTCGCACATGAGATTATGTTTATAAACGTAAAGCTTCCGAATATAACAACAAGCACGCATGCGCCCTCTTCTGGCGTCTTCCGGGTTCACATCAAACTGCGCATGCGCTTTGAATAGTTCACAACACACAACCACACGAGGGAGCGCTATCATAGGAAAACATGAATTTCTCGATTACCACCTGTCTTTGGTAAGTGAGTTTTATGAAATATAAATAGTGGATTTAAACACAGAATTTGAAAACTTAATTGGTGGAACTCAGAACAGAAAATCAGAAAATTAGGCTTTACGTGTGAGACGTAAAAAGAAATATAGCGTCTAGATGTAGGCCCTAAGTGACACCCAATAAAAAATAAGAAACCATCACGACCAACACATCAAACCGTATCTATAACGCAGTGAATAACTTTTTAATTACTAAAATGAATATGAATGTGTCCAAAAAAAAAAAAAAAAAAATTCAAATTAATTCAAGATAAATCTTGAAACTAACATGTAAGGTCACATATCGCAAAATAAATACAGTATTTAATATTTATTTAAATTATATTTTTCATAAATATTGCAAGTAAATCGTTTACAACTAGTCATTTGATTTTTTTTGAAAATATTGATGGAAAAAAAACAATTGATGTTTTTCTACAAAAAGCGACAGGATGTGGGCCTAGGTAGGTGTGAAACTTTCTAAGAAAGTTAATTTAACTCTTGAAACTAGTCTGCAAGGTCAGACTTTTTCATATCCTAGACAGAGATGGATATGCCTTTGAATATCTGTCTCTGTTTCTGAATGCTGTCAAATCACTATAGAAACACTCATCACTGCATTTCATCACTGAATGATGATCAGGCTGGTTTGCTTGAAAGAAATTATACAACAGCAGATATGTCTATTGCTTTTCCCCTGGATGTTTCCTGGATGTTTGCTCATCTGCGTTGAAGGTTAAAAAGTGACATTGATTGGAAAGCAGAGAAATGACTCATGCTGAGGTCAGTTTGAACACCCAACATAATCTCATGACGCAGTAAACAACTACAAAAATAGTGTCCACCCTCCATCTAACGAGCTCAGCTAATTAGTAATTTTGAAATAATTAGATCCCTTATGAACAAAAAGATCCAGCGGCATTGCATGTTTATTGCTGGGAGACTATTTTGAGAAAGCAACGGTTACCGTTCCATCTGATTTGTTTCTTTGTCTATTTATCTCCTTTTGTCTTCTAGAACAGGGGTTCTTCAAGACAGTTAAGAGACAAATAGTGTAAAAAATTTTTACAAATAAATAATAAAAATAAGATTTAACTAAAAAAACAAACAAATAAAAATCAGTGATAAAAATGTATTTAAATAAATAAATAACACAGTAATACAATGTAGTACTATGTGAGTAGAAAAAAATAATATTCAATTACAAAAAATGATAAATGCATATAATATGTAACAAACTCGTTAACCATGCATGCAAAAAAGAAATGTAAAAATGTAAAAGTAAATAAGATTAAAAATAAGATTAAATAAATAAATAATAAAATAAAAAATAAGTCAGTGATACACTATTGATTTAAATTAATAAATACTACGATTAGACAAAAACAAACAAACATTGTAATGATTATTAACCTGCTGGGTTGCAAGTCTGTTCATTATTTTATCAAAAAAAAAAAAAAATGCACATAATTGTCTACAACAAATTCTATAATCATGCATAGCTATGATTACAAATAGAAAAGGTTAGAGAAAAAAAACTGTAAAAATGTACAAATAAATAACAATAATAACAACAACAACAAAATCTGTAATAAAATTGTTAATTAAATAAGATATGATTATAAGATGATTAAAAACAACTGTTATAAAACATTGATTCTTAACAGTTAGGTTGCAACTCTGTTCATTATTTTATCAAAAAGAATTATAAATACACAATAGAGTGCAAAAAACGGTAATCATTGCATGGTTATGATTGCAAAAAGAAAGGTTTAGAGAAAAACTGCTTAAAAATGTAAAAATAAATAATAAAACAAAAAAATCAGTGATCAAAAAATGTATTGAAATAAATAAGATATGATTATTATAAGATTATTATTAAAGGCCGACAACTCCTACAGAGATTCTTAACAGGTGGGTTGCAAGTCTGTTCATTATTTTATCAAAAATAATTATGAATGCACATAATAGAGTGCAACAAACTCTATAATCGTGCATAATTCTAATGCCAAAATGCATTTAAGAGGGACAGAGAAAATGAATCTTATGTTTTGTTGTTAACGTAAAAAGGTGTTCATCCAATAAAGCCTTGCAGTAATTGCTAGGTAGAATCTCGTCAAATTATGAAAAGGTCCTTGCAAACAGCATTGAATTAAATTCAGCTTCACTTGCAACGAGCATAACGTTGATTTGTGTCGACCACAGTGTGTTCTGTGCTGTGAATTATTGGCTGCCAAGCGCACGAAACCATCGGAATTGAATTTCAAGTATAAAAAGCGGATCCTGAAGCAAAACCAGTTGAGAGCCACCAGTCTAGACAGTGAGGGATAAAGGTTGATCCGACACATTTACAGCCTCCCTTCTCTTGTTTTGCTCTCTTTTAGATGGATTAAGCGGATTGGTTCCTGGACAGAGATGTACAGCTGCTCTTAGACAGACCATTTCATAACACACAACATCAGCAATGAGTTTGGTAATGGCCCCACTCAGCTTTAATTACGCCATCTAGCCGCTGGCTTCACCCCACCATCACCCTGAAACGCTCCACTGCACCATCAAGCAGCAGAAGGGTAAAAAAGGTTCACTTTCCCAACAGGAGTCAATATATGGATCGCGATGTGGATGGTGGTTTTTTTTAAAGTCTGGGAGACGGGGATCGATTCAGACGCTGGACCACTGATCCATCACATCTTTCACTGTGGGCGCTGTCTGTGGTCTGGGCTTTTGCTGTCAAGTCTATTATCTTGACCACGTTTTACAGACCAGTGAGTACTTGTTTAACGTTTGGAGTCGGGGTTGTGTTGAATTAACATTGATCAGACCAAGCCTGCAAGCTAGGAATGGAATCTAAAGCACTAGACTAGAGTAAATAAACCCTTTTATGAAACAGCTATTTTTGGACCTGGGTTCCAGTCGTGCTAAAATACACTATATAGTGAAAGGAACTCTATCTTCTAGCAGAAAGGTATGCTGTTTTTGTCAAAAATTTGGTGTAGAAACTATTTTTCACTAGTAAAATTCACAATTAATTACCAAAAAATGGCAAGTAACACATTGAATTATATGTACAATTTTGAAGTAGAAAGACTGAAATAGTATCTTCTTGTAGAATACACAATACTTCCTGTGACTGTTTGCCTCTTTAAGATGAATTGCTTTATGTATTCCCCAATTGTAAGTCGCTTTGGATAAAAGCATCTGCAAAAGGACTAAATGTAAAACGTACTCTATAATTTAAGAAAGCTTATTCTTATTAAGAAAGCGCTCAGAATTCTAAGAAAAAAGCTAAGAATATATACAAGTCAGAAGTGCAAGATATAAACTCAGAATAAACATAAATTCTGAAAAAAGTCAGATTTGTGACAAAATAAGCTTGCATTGCCTGAAAAAAATGTCAGAATTGTGAGATAAAAACGTATTATTTTTAATTCAGTGCTGATCCAAACAAACAAACAAGCAAAAAAACTCAAATGTAACATGTAAACTCAGAAATGTGAGTTCATATTTCACAATTTTTCTCTAAAAAAATTATTATTATTATTATTATATAAAAAAGACAAAAAGTCAGAAATGCGAGGAAAGTCTGTGAGATAAAAAAGTTGCAAAAAAGATCTGTGAGATAAAAAGAAGTTCCATAATATTGTCTTTCCATAAAATTATTGATTATATATATAATTTTTTTTACGGTGTAGTAATCCTTTTTTAAAATCAATAAGGCACTCATAATACTAATATAGTTATGCATGCCTAATAACACCATTTAGTGATGATAATATTATCAGTATAACAGCCTCTCGTGCCTTATTGCTTAAATAAACAATTTTCATGCATAAAATCATGGCGGTTCACAGAGGTCAGAGAAAAGCTGTGGTTTTACTGCGGTCTCCTGCTTTAAGCCCTCATGATTACAGCTCTGGTGATAAGCATCGCTTAATTATCTAAGGGGTCGATTGAAAGCAGAGGGCTGACAAAATGATTCATCTCAGCTATGATGGGCATCACTGCTGCCACATTCACATGGTCCAAAACATGAGTTTTGTGTGTGTGTGAGTGTTTGTGAATTCTCATGTCGGATGTCTGCTGTGAAAGTTGAAGTGATATTTCACTAGTTTTTGCCTCTTGGTAGCAGTGTTATTTCAGTATTTTTTATATACTATTAGTTTTTAATAATATTTTTAATTTAATTTTTTTAATTTTTAATACTTTTTTATTTTAATTTTAGTAAAATTTTTGTAATTTGGGTATGTGCTTTTGTCATTTGTATTATTATTATTATTATCATTATTTTTTAGAGGTTAGGTTTAATTTTTATTTATTTTATATCCAGTTTTTCATCTTATACTTGCAATTAAAGGTGCTGTATGTAAGTTTTTGACTACTAAAGCATAAAAATATCATAATATGTTTGCAGATATTTAAGAAACATGCTAAGTTAACATACTTGTTTATCTGAAAAACAATGCTACAAAACAGCCCCAAAGCATAATGTTTCCACCTCCATGCTTGACTGTAGGGATGGTGTTCTTGGGGTCATAGTCAGCATTTCTCTCCCTCCAAACACAGCAAGTCGAGTTGATGCCAAAGAGTTCAATTTTGTTCTCATGTGACAACAGCACTTTCTCCCAAGCCTTCTCTGAATAATTTAGATGTTCAGACGGGCCTGTACATGTGCCTTCTTGGGCTGGGGGACCTTGCGGGCACTGCATGATTTCAATTACATATATTATGTGAACAAAAACTTTTATTTTGGATGCGATTAATCGCGATACATATACAGTATATAATATATATATAAAATTTAAATAATTCAATCTGTAAAGTTATCTAAT